TATTAAGTGGTCGCCTACCTTATAGACTTCTGGACCTGTTAGGGGCACTGACATGTGACATGTAGGCCTCATCTTAAAGGCGGGTTCTCCTTCTGCAGTGTTTTTGGGGGTTTCAATTGTTGTCATCGTTTCTTATGGGTCCCAACTCAGAGCCGTTATCCTTCCTCGTATTGCAGTTGTCCTTTAAGTGACCCCGAGGGTACCTTTGCAGGCAGTGAGGTCCTCGCGAGGGTTGACACCAGACCTTATGAGTACTTGTGTTCAGAGCCGGGTCGGACATTAATCAGGATAGTCATATAACTGAACCTGCAAGGTCAATTAATAATAATACTAATACTAATAATAATAATAATAATAATAATAATAATATAATATAATAATAATAACAATAATAATAATAATAATAATAATAATAATAATAATAATAATAATAATAATAATAATAATACTAATAATAATAATAATAATAATAATAATAATAATAATAATAATAATATAATAATAATAATAATAATAATAATAATAATAATAATAATAATAATAATAATAATAATAATAATAATAATAATAATAATAATAATAATAATAATAATAATAATAATAATAATAATAATAATAATAATAATAATAATAATAATATAATAATAATAATAATAATAATAATAATAATAATAATATAATATAATTAATAAAATAATAATGATTATAATAATATTTTTTTTTCTTTTTTTTTAAATTCTGACCTCAAGCCAAACGAAAAACCAGAAGAAAATAATCATAATAATAATTAAATAAAAAAAAATTTATAGTAATGATAATAATGATGATAATTATAATAATATATATATTTTTTATTTTTTTATTTATTTATTTTTTTATTTATTTATTATTATTTTAATTTAATAGTAATGATAATAATGATGATAATTATAATAATATATTTTTTATTTTTTCATTTATTTTATTTATTTATTATTAAATTAATTAATAATGATTGATATTTTTTAATATTTTTTTTTTGTTAGATTCTGACAAGAAATAATAAAAATATAATATAAAAAATATAATATATATATAAAATAAATTATTAAGTGGTCGCCTACCTTATAGACTTCTGGACCTGTTAGGGGCACTGACATGTGACATGTAGGCCGTAAATATTCGAAGGCTATTGGATGAATGGAATGAATGATTATTGAATGTTCGAAGTTTCATGAAAATGCGATACATACTTTGATTTCTATGAAAGGGAAATCTTGCTGTACATCCGATAAATCCATTCGCGTCTGACTTCAAATAATGTGTGTTTGTTGATGGCCTCTCTCATCTTACGTAACACATTGTTACATTTCGAAAGTGCTTCTTCCTCGGATTTTCTCATCTGGAGTATAAACTCCTGTTTAGGCGAGGAATGAGTCCTCTCTGCGAGGGGTGCTCCTGTATTAATCTTTGGTGTTGCGTTATCAATTTGCGCAATTTCTACAGCTACTGCTGGCGAGTTCACCGGTGTCCTCTTTGTTCTTTAACTCATCTTAAAGGCGGGTTCTCCTTCTGCAGTGTTTTTGGGGGTTTCAATTGTTGTCATCGTTTCTTATGGGTCCCAACTCAGAGCCGTTATCCTTCCTCGTATTGCAGTTGTCCTTTAAGTGACCCCGAGGGTACCTTTGCAGGCAGTGAGGTCCTCGCGAGGGTTGACACCAGACCTTATGAGTACTTGTGTTCAGAGCCGGGTCGGACATTAATCAGGATAGTCATATCAACTGAACCTGCAAGGTCAAATTAATAATAATACTAATAATAATAATAATAATAATAATAATAATAATAATAATAATAATAATAATAATAATAATAATAATAATAATAATAATAATAATAATAATAATAATAATAATAATAATAATACTAATAATAATAATCATAATAATAATAATAATAATAAATAATAATAATAATAATAATAATAATAATACTAATAATAATAATAATAATAATAATACTAATACTAATAATAATAATAATAATAATAATAATAATAATAATAATAATAATAATAATAATAATAATAATAATAATAATAATAATAATAATAATAATAATAATAATAATAATAATAATAATAATAATAATAATAATAATAATAATAATAATAATAATAATAATAATAATAATAATAATAATACTAATAATATATAATAATAATAATAATAATAATAATAATAATAATAATAATAATAATAATCATAATAATAATAATAATAATACTAATAATAATAATAATAATAATAATAATAATATAATAATAATAATAATAATAATAATAATAATAATAATAATAATACTAATAATAATAATAATAATAATAATAATAATAATAATAATAATAATAATAATACTTAATAATAATAATAATAATAATAATAATATAATAATAATAATAATAATATAATAATAATATAATAATAATAATAATAATAATAATAATAATAATAATAATAATAATAATAATAATAATAATAATAATAATAATAATAATAAAATAATAATATAATAATAATAATATAATAATAATAATAATAATAATAATAATAATAATAATAATAATAATAATAATAATAATAATAATAATAATAATAATAATAATAATAATAATAATAATAATAATAATAATATATTAATAAAAATAATAATGATTATAATAATATTTTTTTTCTTTTTTTTTTTAAATTCTGACCTCAAGCCAAACGAAAAACCAGAAGAAAATAATCATAATAATAATTAAATAAAAAAAAATTTAATAGTAATGATAATAATGATGATAATTATAATAATATATATATTTTTTATTTTTTTATTTATTTATTTTTTTATTTATTTATTATTATTTTAATTAAATAGTAATGATAATAATGATGATAATTATAATAATATATTTTTTATTTTTTCATTTATTTTATTTATTTATTATTAAATTAATTAATAATGATTATGATATTTTTTTAATAATTTTTTTTTTGTTAGATTCTGACAAGAAATAATAAAAATATAATATAAAAAATATAATATATATATATAAAATAAATTATTAAGTGGTCGCCTACCTTATAGACTTCTGGACCTGTTAGGGGCACTGACATGTGACATGTAGGCCGTAAATATTCGAAGGCTATTGGATGAATTGAATGAATGATTATTGAATGTTCGAAGTTTCATGAAAATGCGATACATACTTTGATTTCTATGAAAGGGAAATCTTGCTGTACATCCGATAAATCCATTCGCGTCTGACTTCAAATAATGTGTGTTTCTTCATGTCCTCTCTCATCTTACGTAGCACATTGTTACATTTCGAAAGTGCTTCTTCCTCGGATTTTCTCATCTGGAGTATAAACTCCTGTATAGGCGAGATATGAGTCCTCTCTGCGAGGGGTGCTCCTGTATTAATCTTTGGGGTTGCGCTATCAATTTGCGCAATTTCCACAGCTACTGCTGGCGAGTTCACCGGTATCCTCTTTGTTCTTGAACTCATCTTAAAGGCGGGTTCTCCTTCTGCAGTGTTTTTGGGGGTTTCAAGAAAAACCAGAAGAAAATAATCATAATAATAATTAAATAAAAATAAAAAAATTAATAGTAATGATAATAATAATGATATTTTTTATTTTTTATTTATTTATTATTATTTTAATTAATAATGATTATGATATTTTTTTAATAATTTTTTTTTTTTTGTTAGATTCTGACAAGAAATAATAAAAATAATAATAATAATATATATATATATATATATATATATATATATATATATATATATATATATATATATATATATATATATATATATATATATATATATATATATATATATATATATATATATATATATATATATATATATATATATATATATATATATATATACTCCTTCTGCAGTGTTTTTGGGGGTTTCAATTGTTGTCATCGTTTCTTATGGGTCCCAACTCAGAGCCGTTATCCTTCCTCGTATTGCAGTTGTCCTTTAAGTGACCCCGAGGGTACCTTTGCAGGCAGTGAGGTCCTCGCGAGGGTTGACAAAAGACCTTATGAGTACTTGTGTTCAGAGCCGGGTCGGACATTAATCAGGATAGTCATATCAACTGAACCTGCAAAGTCAAATTAATAATAATAATAATAATAATATATATATATATATATATATATATATATATATATATATATATATATATATATATATATATATATATATATATATATATATATATAATATATAATAATAATAATGATTATAATAATATTTTTTTCTTTTTTTTTTAATTCTGACCCCAAGCCGAACGAAAAACCAGAAGAAAATAATCATAATTATAATTAAATAAAAATAAAAAAAATTAATAGTAATGATAATAATGATGATAATTATAATATATATATTTTCTATTTTTTAAAATATATATATATATATATATATATATATATATATATATATATATATATATATATATATATATATATATGTATATATATATATATATATATATTTATATAAGCCGTAAATATTCGAAGGCTATTGGATGAATTGAATGAATGAATGAATGATTATTGACTATTCGAAGTTTCATGAAAATGCGATACATACATTGATTTCTATGAAATGGAAATCTTGCTGTACATCCGATAAATCCATTCGCGTCTGACTTCAAATAATGTGTGGCAAAATGTTCAATCATCTTAAAATCTTTAAGAGAAATATTTTAAATGTATTTCTTTCTATTTTCTATTTATTTTTAATTTTTACAAAATTTTGACAAACAATATTCAATTCTGAAAGCCTTTTGACTAGAACGAACGAGTATCCTAAGCGTCTGCTCCCTGCCAAGCAATTGCAAAATCTGAGAAAAATGCAGCTTCATCTCCAAAATGATGAACTTAATATACCCAAATAAGAAATAAACAAGTTAAAAAGTTTCGGTCGGTTTTGCCGACAGGTGTATACCCTCAGCCAATGTTCGATTATTTTAAAATCTTTTGACTTCTGGTTTGATTGATCAAATGTTTAAACCTTTATGCAGTTGGTTCCGAAGGAATTGGCCAATATTAGCCACTTCTTGTCGGACCTAAATAAATATGATATAAATATTGCGACGTGCTAAGTTTGGACTGTGTTGTGTTAATTTAAATTTTGGGATGTACCAAGTCATGAATAGAATCGGATGTCAATTTCGCTTTTTATGAGCTTCATAGATTTTCAAAATTTTGAGCCTTTGTGGGGGAGGTACCAGAATGAGTGGACCGATATATTACATCTTCACAACGGATCTTTTGTTAGTGGAAATAATGGGATGTATTAAATATAAAGATAACCTGATTTCGAGTTTTATAAATGTTTTGGTTATTCCAAACTTTGAGCCCTTATGGAGGGAAACCAGAGGGAGTGGACCGATATCTTCCATCTTAACACCAGATCTTGGATTTAGGAAAATATTGGAATGTGTGAAACTTTAAGACAGTCGGATTCTAACACTACATTATAATTATTCAAAATGTTTACCCTTTGTGGGGGAGGTACTTGATAGAGTGGGCAAATAATATCCATTTTTATACCAGACCTAGAACGAAAATATTAGGATTTGCAAAGTTGGAGCAAACCCGGATTATTGGTACTCTTTCTGTGCAGAAAATAATTTTTGTTTGTTTTTTTTTTCTTTGAAAAATTTGACCTTGTATGGGGGAGGTACCAGAAGGAGTGGACCGATATTGTCCATCTTAACACCAGACCTTGGGTTAATAAAAATATTTGGATGTGTGAAATTTGAAGATAATCGGGCTCTTACATATTTATTTTATGAGAATTGTAATTATTCAAAATTTTGACCATTTGTGGGGGAGGTACTTGATGGAGTGGACCGATGTTGTCCATTTTCACACCTAACCTAGCACGGACGCAAATATTAGGATATGCAAAGTTGGAACAAAATCAGATAATCCTTTCTCTTTCTGTGCAAAAAATATTTTTTTGAAAATTTCGACCTTTTGTGGGGGAGGTACCAGAGGGAGTGGACCGATATATTCTATCTTAACACCAGACCTTGGGTTAATATAAATATTGAGATGTGTGAAAAGACAATCGGACTCTTACATCACATATTATGAGAGTTGCAATTATTCAAAATGTTGACCATTTTTGGGGGACGTAATTGATGGAGTGAACCGATATTGTCCATTTTCACACTTAACCTAGCACGGACGCAAATATTGGTATATGCAAAGTTGGAGCAAAATCGGATTATCCTTTCTCTTTCTGGGCAACAAATTATTTTCTTTGTCAGTCAGACAGACGGACGGACGGACGGACAGACGGACATCGGTAGATCGACTCCAAATGTTCTGAAACGGATTTGGTCCAAAGAGACCTAGGGTCTAAAACCGTTATTTCGACTAGGCACGTTTTGACCGTATCAAATGATATATACCCTCTTTAGCCACATGGCTGAGGGTATAAAAAGCATCTAAGTTCGGCCGGAACGAGCTTAATACCTCCACCACTTGGAAAATTAAAAAAAAAATCCGCCGAAAAATGCCGTTAAAATAAAAACTGTTATATGTCAGATGAAATAAAGGAAAATTCATATATATTTCATTTGATAACCAAAGAAAAAGTAACGTGAGCAAAAAAAAGGAAAAATTAAAATCATTGAGAAAAATTAAAATCATTGAAGTATTAGCTTAGATACTATGAAACTAAAATTCAAAATGTTTACGCATATGCATATATTGTTGACCAATAACAAAATATTTAAGAGTATGCAAACAAAGAGATGTTCAAGTACTCACTGTTTGTTTGTGTGTTTAATACCGTCGCTCCCCAGCGGATTTTTTAGCACAGACATCTTCCATCTGAGACCAATGACAATGTAGGTGTGACCCATCCAAAGCCTGTATACAATTTCTACTTACATTTACACAGCGATGGCCTAGGCCGTCAGACGAGTCCGAAATCTACCGACAATGTAAGCGAATGTTCGATGGGTCCGAAATCGACCGACAATGTAAGCGAATGTTGGATGGGTCCGAAATCTATCAACACATTTTAGATTATGGAACTTAAATTTCAGCTGTTTTTTATTAAAATATTCGTATTATAGAACAGTGTTTTCAACAATAAAATATTCTTATTATAATTAGAAATAGTGCATAAAAAAGAGATTCATAAAACTTATTCAAAAGACGTGGAAAGAAACATAGCTTAAACTAAGGGGAAAAAATTAAATTTTCCAGGTTTTTTATTGTAGGACATTGTTCGGAAGTGTCTGGCCTTAGGGAATTTAAAACAATTTCTAATTTTTTGGCGTAATCCTGTTCATTGAATCCTTCACATATGACAGCTTCTGAAATAAGATAGAAAATATAGAACAATTTTTTAATATTAAACAGTTATACTATAGAATAGACTAATGGACTACATTTTAAGGTAATATAATATCACTTTTCAATAAATATGTAAGAAAAAATTTAACTTACCGAAAATGGCCATGTTTAAAAGCTTAAATTCCTTAAACGGCTTTTTATTTTGGGTACCATCATAGTTGTAAGATAATATTATAGAAATGTCAATAATTTTGCAGAAGTTTTTAATAAGGCCATCTGGTGAAATTATAATTTTTATGATACTAACCCGAAAGAAATTAAATTATTAATGGATTATAACGGAGAGTTTTTAATATTCTTACATATTTTCCAAAATCTTCGAAAATTTTGGAATGCATGGAATCTGCTCATTTAGTACAATATCATTGTTTTGCAAACAGTCCGTCCTCAACTGTGCATTTCTTTTTAAATTGTCGGCTTCACTTTCTTTAATCGTCTTTAATTTCTGCTACTGAATCCTGACATTTTATTTAACTTATTTAACACACAACACTTACTATATTCTTATTTTATTGATTTATTTTATTTTAATAACTTTTTTCAATATTCACAACTTGCACTTTCAAAAACACTTCACAGAATAACATTTTGCTTTAAAAAAGAAAGAAGCATCAAAAATGAATAACGGTACAACACCGGCTGCAATAACACACATAAAAAACTTAACAAAACAATACAAAGGCATCCGATTCAGATGCAAGTGCGATGGACACATTTAATTATATTTTGTTTTGTTCTTTAATTCTAACATGGATTTTGTTTCACAATGTAATATCAATACGACTCATCCGATTCGGATGCTAGTTGTATGCTATTAACCACTGTTATTTAATTTTTCCTATTGACAATATAGCATACATTTGGATGGGTATTAAATTGTAATGGCAAGCGAACTGCTAGGAAGTGCTATCTTAGATGTTTTCTTCTCTCATTGGTCAACAATGTTGCTAAACATTTGTATACGGACTTGAGCAACACGCTTAAACCTAATAGCTTAGCATTGCTAAATATTACTATGCAACCTTTAGCAAAGCACAAAACCCACT